CACTTAGTACTACGGTCTAATGGTATTCTTCTTTACTTGTAAGTGAGAGATCTTATATTCAACTCTTTCCAAAGACAAATTTGAATCACATTATTGCTTGCTCATTGTGAGGCTAAGCCTATTCCCTCCCCGTAGTGTATGTAATATCATTTGTTCAAAAAAAAAAAAAAAAATACTAGTTCAATGAGTATTAAGGGTAGAGGTGGATTTTGGGGAGATTAGACATGAAGGAAACTTCTCCCTTCTAATCCTACTATCTTATAGAGATTGAGATAGATAATATTCTTAACGAGTAATTTATCATCCATCTTCAAGTTGGACAAAACTTTTTTATTTCTTCTTTCAACATATCTTGAATATAGTGGATTATTTATTCAATCAAATCTCAGACATTAAACGAGACTAACAAGTTGAAGGTAGAAGATAAATTTGTAAGTTACTCCTTTTATTAATCCCCTCAAGATAGTAGATTATTAGTAATAAGTTTTCTTTATTATAATTTGAAAGTCGCATTTATTTCTTCATCCAACATCCAAAATAAGTTTTGCGTACCAAATCGAATCGAACCCATAATTGCGGTGGAAGATTGAGTAGAAGAGTGTCAAACCCATAGGCAAACCAAACAATGAAGTTGCTAAGCCGATGGTTAAAATGTTAATTAGGTAGTCCACTAGCGCTTCAACAATAGTGTTCAACCGAGTTACAGTGCTGTCGCTAGATGGTACACAACGTCAGGTTGTCTGCGGCGTTTTTGGAGGCAATCAGTTGTTCACGCCGTTTCTCAAATATCTTCATACCGATCCCATCCCAGGTATGTCGTTTTTGCCAAAGTTTAACAAAAAGTATGGAACGTAGGCCACATCCAGTGTGCTGAAAATCTCACGTCAGATAACAGTAGCACCACGCCCGGGCAAGTTTCCACTGTTATCTGACCTGGGATTTTCAGTTTCATTCTCCAACAATTCAGTGAAAGAGAATGCCATTCTCTAAAGCTAGCCGCAGTTTTCAGTTTCAGTATGATTTTAATACAATGCAGGAGAACGAAATCTGTGATGGGAAAGAGAGAATTCCATGACAGTAATGTAGGTCAATAACATAATTCCTGTATGCAATTCAACACTTAAGTGTACAAACCAATACAAATCATTCATGTAAACAACATTGAATAGTTTAATATTTGCCCTTCCTTTCAAACTTGCTCTCTTTCTCTAGCCTGCTTCTTTGCCTTCCTCCTTTGCTTTACTTTGTTCTGATTACTGCAAGCGGGTGGCTCATCTCCTGAACAAATGCAGCCTCACGTTAATTTTCGGAGCCGTTTGATAACCATTTCCTTTTCGGTTTAAAAAAATTTGAAAACTGAAGACAAAATGGTTATTAATGCCCTTCAATTTGTTACATAAACTATCAACAGAAATATGTCAACTTTCTAACCTGGTTCCTCAGTGACAGCAGCGCCAGGTTTCTCAGAGGCATTACGTCGAACACCTTGTGCTTCATTGTCACATTGATCGGTTGCTGAAGGTAATAGAGGCCCAATAATTTCCCTACGGCGAGAAGCATCTTCCTTGAGCTTCTTCTTACGGAGTCTCTTCCTCTGAGCCCTTGTAAGTCTCTGAGCCTCACTTTCGTCATTGCCGTAGTCTTCGCTGCTCGTTGCTGAAGACCCACTTTCCCCTAAGCCGTCTGCTTCAAAGTCTTCGCCTAAAATGCTCAACGGTACGTTTCCAGGCTCATCTTTTGGCTGTAAAAACAATCCATGTTTACTATAAAAAAGTTGCAGAGAAACTGTAAAATCCGAGAGAGAGAGAAAGAGAGAGTACTGGAGGTGATGGAGGAGGATGGAGCATGTTGAGGACGGCTTCATGCAGCTTGCGTCGTTTCTCCTCCCTTAGCATTTTTTATGGAATAAGGGGACCAAAAGGAACCCAATTGGTCCAATTCCTTGCTTCGTTTAGATGTTAGTTAACTTAACCTTTTGAGTTTGAAGAAGAAAGTTTACCTGCCACACATTTTTTTTATTCACAGGTTATAGTTGACACTATTTTAGGGGAGCAACTTAGTTTTTATAAAATGTAGTGCCAAAAATGTACACATATAGTCATATCAATATCTCAGAATACCATAACTGACAGTGCCATTTTCAAAAAAAAAAAAAAAAAAAAAAAAAAAAAAAAAAAAAAGATTAAAATATGAGTGCAATCTTAGTGCAAGAAGTAGACACAATGTCCTTACTAACTAACATCATCAACGTCTACTTTAGTAGTATAACGTTGCTTTGCAAATTGTAATTGCAGCTTTCAATTAAGAAGATTTTTAACATCTAAACAAATTGAAGCTACATCCACATCCAAGTACTCTTTATGTCCATAGAGTTGTATATTTACAAATTTATTGAACACCATTCCTTATTCAAATGAGTCAATTGTTGTAAGCTAAACCAAAAACCAATCAAGCAATAAACAAAACACGATGATTTTAGAGTTCCTCCAATATAGGAGTACCTTTCTAACAACAGAAGCTTTATTGATTACCAACAAATACAAGAGAATTCACAAACACAAAGTGTTTTCAAGTATACAAACTTATGCCTCTCACAACTTTCACACTCAAAACTCTATCCCACATCCATCTATTTATACTAATAGATGTCATAGGTTTACACAAAGTCCCTAGATTATAGGAAACCAAATCCATACTAAAACCAAATCCCAAACCAACTAGGAAACACAAATCCAAATATCTTGTGTCTAAGATATCCTAATCCTTGTTCGATTCTTGTTTTAGTTTAGGCATGTTGATTTAATGCCAATCCAACAATCTCCACCTTGGCATGAAATCTATAGCGAGGCATCAAACAACTTCTGTTGCTCCACCATATCGCAAGATCAAACTTGCTTCAACTACACCAAATCTAAGCAGTTCTCGAACTTAGCTGCATTAACCACATTTGTCAACATATCAGCTGAATTATCTTCTGTAGCAACCTTTTTTAAACAAATTTCACCTTCAGCTACCACTTCTTTCACAAAATGATATTGTACATCAATGTGCTTAGTCCTAGCATGATGTAACTAATATCTGGCCAAATAAATGGCACTTTGGCTGTCATAATATACATCCAACTTGTGTTGTTCTACATCTAAATCTCTAACGACCCTAGAGTCCACATTGCTTCTTTGATAGCTTCAGCGATTGCCATGTATTCTACTTTTGTGGTTGATAGTGCCACCGTTGGTTGTAATATTGATCTCCAACATATAGGACCCTTTGCCATAATAAACACATACCCAGTCGTCGATCTTCTCTTGTCCAAGTCTCCAGCAAAGTTTGAGTCCACATATCCAACTGAGAACTTATCAATTTCTTCATCACATCTTTCAAAACAAATACATTTGTCCCTCGCTCCATGTAAATACCTTAGTATCCACTTAGCAGCATTCCAATGCTCTCTTCCAGGATTGTGCATGAATCTACTAACAATTCCAGTTGAGTGTGCTATATCACGACGAGTACACGCCATAACATACATTAATCCTCCAACCAAATTAGCATATGGAATACCATCCATCTTCATCTTTTCTTCATCAGTTTTGGGACATACCTTACACCATGCAATTCTCGAATCACACCATTATGATGCTTGATCATGATGCTTCCAATTCCTTGAGTTGTACATGGGTTATCATCTCCCATATACACAGTTCCATTCATAACTTTAAAGCTTGAAAACCAACGTCTTTGAGAAGTCATGTGATGAGTACAACCTATGTCGAGCACCAACTCTTTCATATAATCCACAGTGCTCGATGCAGTTAGGGCATAGACAAGTTCCTCATTCTCGACTTCAACCATATTTGCTTTTGAGTCATCCTTCTTCTTTCTAGTATTTTCTTTGATTTTAGGGCAGTCATTCTTCCAGTGTCATTTTTCATGACAAAAAGCACAATCATCTTTGTCCAAGAACTTCCTATTCTTTGAGACTTCTCTAGTATGAGACCTACTATTTTTCCTGTACAAACTTTTATTTTCTTTAGATCTCTCTCTCTCTCTCACCATCAAAGCTTCAAAGTTATTCCTTTCTTGCATGTCAAGGTGTCTCACCTAATGATTCATAAGAGCACTTGAGATTTCATCATACTTAATTATCTCCCTGCCATAAATCCAAGTAGTCACGAAAGGCTCATAGGATTTAGGCAATGAGTTCATCAGGATCAAGGCCTTGTCTTCATCTTTGATTATCTCTTCAAGATTTGCCAATTCAGCTAGAAGCTTGTTAAACTCTTCTAGATGGCCAATCATCTTCGTGCCTTCTTTGTACTAGAACCTGTACAACTTGCTCTTGAGATGCAGTGGATTCTCTGCACTCTTCTTCATATATTTTGTCTCCAATGCAACCCATAATTCTTTCGCAAAAGGTATGTTCATCACACCATACTCTGTTGCTTTCCCAAGCATAGCCGAATTGTAGAACATGCATGAGCATTCAATCTTTCCCATTCTTCTTTTTTTCATATAAAACTGCATGTCACCTAATACAACAACCAAACCTTGTTGTATTAGGACATCTTGAACCTCACATTGCCACATAGCAAAGTTGTCCTTTTCATCAAATTTCTCAATTTCAAACCTAGCACTTTGAACCGTCATTTTGGTTTCACTAGTACCAAACTTTTCTTCAACATCATCACTACTGGTGGAATCACCAATCTTTGTCATTGCTTGATAGTCACAACCCACGTAAGAACCTAAGCTATTGATACCACTTGTTGTAAACTAAACCAAAAACCAATCAAGCAATAAACAAAACACAACAATTTTAGAGTTCATCCAATATAGGAGTACCTCTCTAACAGCGGAAACTTTGTTGATTACAACAAATACAAGAGAACTCACAAACACAAAGTGTTCTCAAGTATACAAACTTATGCCTCTCACAACTTTCACACTCAAAACTCTATCCCACACCCATCTATTTATACTAATAGGTGTCATAGGTTTACACAAAGTCCTTAGTATATAGGAAACCAAATCCTATACTAAAACCAAATCCCAAACCAACTAGGAAACAAAAATCCAAATATCTTGTGTCCAAGATATCAAATCCAACATCAATATCATGAAACATCTAGGAAAAAACATGGTCCTATTGGCAAAAACAGAAGAAAAAGTACTTCCTGGGGAGAACATATTTTAAGAACATTCCCAACATTCAAAGTGCTTTTTGGGAGATCCACCTTTTGAACATGACAAAGCACTCCTTAGGCTTATATTCTAGAGCTGTGTGTCCTTCTCCTTTAACAGTTGCAAACATAAAGTTGTTTGAATATTTAGTTGAGTATCTGCAGGCAGCAAACAATATAACATATAACACAGTAAAGGAGAATTCAACTCGCAATTTCGTACCTCTACGAAGTGTGAAGCTTTGTTCTAATTAAACCATACTTGACACGGAGTCAATACTCAAAACCTACCTTACAACTTCACCAGCAACCAGCCACGGTCTCTAGTGATCCACGATGGTAAGGTTCAGAGACCTAAGGCTATCTCCAACCTAAGGGTCCAGAGGGCCAAATGGCCGAAAATAGCCTTAAAACCGTCTCCAACCGAGGGCCAGGCCAAAGGGCTTGTGGGCCCCACTGGACAAAAAGGGCCAAAGGGCTAACCGGCCGGCCCAAATGAGCCAGCCAACCCCGGGTCGGGCTGGAATTCAAAAAGCAACAGTCAGCTAGCTGTTATGTTTGAATTTTTTTTTTTTACAAAATTTGTTTAATAATGGCCCATAAATTATGTTTGGTTGAATGTTTGGGTGTTCTTTTTATAGGCTTTAGAGCTTGCTCAAATCCCTCCCATAGCCGATGTGGGACTCTCACCCACTTCCATTTTTTTTTCTACTTCCTCTCCCACAGCCGATGTGGGACTCTCTGACCCACTTCCTTTTTTCTTTTATTTTTTATTTTTTATACTCTAAATAAAACCTCTCACATTTGACTTGAAATATATAAGTTGTATTTTTTAAATTTTAGTTGTAGTTTTTAATTTTTAGTTGTATTTTTAAAATTTAGTTGTAGTTTTTAAATTTAAGTTGTAGTTTTTAAATTTAAATAATAAATTATGTTTGGCCTTATAGCCCTCGGTTGGAGATGGTTTTTCTTGACAGGGCTAAAATGAGCCCTATGGCCCTCGATTGGAGAAGGTAAGAAATATGGTCATGCATTGTTCATTAAAATATTAATTTCTTGAATGGCCAGAGGGCTCGGAGATGGCCTAATCCACCCTAGGGTTCCGAGGTAGGATATAGTCATGTTGGTCACCATTGCATAAACACACTGATCGGGCAATTAAGCCTTAGTATATATATACCATACACGGTAATTAAACTTTCAGAGGATGTTCACTACATGAAAAGGAACAAGTAACAAAACCTGTATATTAGAGTTCGATACCCTCGATTGTTGAGCGATAGATGATAACTAACCACATTTTGGAAATATTTTCTGCATGGCAAGCTGCTGCTATTGCATCTCAGTAACTCCTTTAGTGCATTCCCAAAAGTAATTATATGAAATGTCATCAGTTTTTGTTACATCAGATTATTTTGTGGTTGGTGATCAACATTCACTTACTTTGTGAACGCGAAGCGCCGTTTGAACGTTAACATCATTTGCCCAAACATGGAGCAACAAATTCTTGTAAAACTGCGACAAAGAGGAGAAGGCCCTTATATTTCTGAAGCAGCCTGCTCATTGGAGCTACTAGTGGTTGTATAGAAGATGAGAATTTACCCTGCTCCCAAATTTAGGAAAACGAAGTCCTTGAAACTTTGGATTAATTCTCGTTTGCATCGAGTTGAGTTTAATATGCGACTCTTCCGACCTTTCCAGGAGAGCTTTTTGGTGGTCAGCCATCTTACTATATGCACCAGAGATTGGTCTGCACTGAGGTTCCATGCATTCATGATTTATTTTTTCAGTCAACTGCAAAGGCAAACAAAATGGCCCGAAATTCGTTTGAATTGGAATAGGAAAAAGAATATATACGTACATATATAAAAAATTTATGTATTTCCCCACCATTGTGATAGCCTAGAGATCTTTTGCACATTGTTTATTGCTTTGGTTGATTCCTCTGTATTGTCCTTTACAATTCTTTTTTGCCGACTGAGAAATGCATGCTGTCATTTAGATGTTCATATTGCAAACATAGCGTGTGCCAAAACGGTAGATGGAAACTAGTGTAGATGCATTCTTGGATGATGTATTTGAGAATATAGCTAGTGAAGAGATTGTTTTAACCACCTTGTAGAGTTCATTAGGTATAAGTACCTGGCGATGGGCCATCTGTGACCCGTGCATTATCATCACTATTTGTATCTGTCAATGGGTTGCTGAGTAAATAACCATGGAAAATTTTCTATAATTGTTAGGCCTCCAGAGTAATGAATTTTGAATGCCTGTAATAAAAGTTAAAAGTTGGTCCTAGCTTGAACAAATATTTTGAAATTAATTGTTGGTATCCTTTTGGCTTCAATACCTGCAACAAGCTAGGTAATACGTTATAAGTTCTTAGACTACATTCAATTACAGGCGTTATATTATATCATTTGATTAGGGTTGAATGTGCACCATTACTCTTTGCTATTATTTCAGCTAGAACTGGAATAATCATGCCATAGAACGAGTCACTGCCAATGTAGAATGGAATCGAAATGAATTCAGGGTGATTGATCAACTACTGCATGATGTATAAGAAAATCACAATAGACACAACGTGAATCTAGTTGATGAAACACAGATCTTAATGTGCATATACAAGTCTGGGTGCTTGTGTTTGCATATCATAGCGATGCAATTGTTGTTGTGTCAATTACCTTTGTGAGGAAGCTATACATATGATCAACAAACAATATATTGCTGGATCCTTGGGTGCTTCTTGAATACGAGAACCTAGTGCCAATAGGGGCATCAATAAATAGAATGCTGGAAACCTAATTAACACATCATGATTACGTCGAAAACAACATTAGGAAATTGTAGCAACAACAACAACCCAAGGATTAATAAAGACAATTAACATACAATCGTTTACAACATATGATCTTAAATGCCTTTTGTTAGAATCTAGAGAGAGATCTAGTAAGAAAGATAGAGAGAAAAGAGCAAAATGAAATTGTGAATTTTCATTACTTGAATAATGTTGCACTTTTGGTATATATACCATCATTTACATATAGGATGACTACCTAACTTATTAACTAAGTAAGGTATAACAAACTTCTCACAACAACTCTAACAACACTTACTCAGCATCATTTACATTACTACCCTTAATATCCCCCCTCAAACTAAGCTAAGGTAGCCGAAGAGAAAGTTTGTCTCGGAGAAATAGGAACCGATCCTTGGATAATGCTTTAGTGAAAATATCTGTAGTTTGATCCTGTGTACATACAAAGTGCATTGTGATAGAATTTGCCAAAACTTTCTCCCGAATGAAGTGGTAGTCAATCTCCACATGCTTGGTTCGAGCATGAAAAAAGGGATTCTTAGCAAGAGATATAGCAGATATGTTGTCACACCAAAGTTTAGGAGGACAGGGAAGAACAAGATCAACATCTACTAACAATTTGCAAATCCAAGTTAACTCAGCAGCAGTGGTAGCTAAAGATCAGTATTCTGCTTCAGTTGATGATCTAGCCACGGTGGGTTGTTTCTTAGCACTCGAACTTATAAGTGAATCACCCAGAAAAATACAGAAACCACCTGTGGATCGCCGATCAATAGTGCAACTGGCCCAATCTGCATTTGAAAAACTATGAATACTAAGAGGTGCATAACATTTTGGAAACCAAAGACCAAGAGAAATAGTGCCCTTCAAATATCTGAAAATGCATTTAACAGCCTGGAAATGAGATTTTCGTGGACATTGCATGAACTGATAGACAAAATTTACTACAAAGGACAAATCTGGTCGAGTCCAGGTTAAGTATTGAAGCCCTCAAACTAAGGATCTGTATTCTTCTGGATGGGACAGTAATGGAGAAGAGTGATCCAATTTAGCTGTGCTAAGTGGAGTGACATAGGGTTTAGCACCCTCTATATGTGCCTTCTTGAGAAGATCCAGTATGTATTTAGTTTGAGAGATGAATATGCCCTTGGAAGATCTCTTGACCTCAATGCCTAAAAAATAATGAAGTGGTCCCAAATCATTAACAGGAAATAACTCACAAAGTTGAGAAATCACAGTTTTACATGCTGCAGAATCTGGTATTGTAACTAAAATATCATCAACATACACCAAGACATATACCACTGAAGCATCTTTCTTGATAAATAAAAAATGGTCATTTTGAGTGCCAGAGATTCCAATAGAGTGTAATGCAGCTGTTAACTTGGCATACCAAGCTCTGGGAGCCTGTTTTAGGCCATACATAGACTTATGCAATTTACAAACATGCTGTGGTTGAGCAGGATCTTCAAACTTGGGAGGTTGAACCATGAAAACAGACTCAGTGAGATTTCCATGCAGAAATGCATTACTAACATCTAACTGGTTGATAAACCAATCAAATTTCGTTGCTAGAGTTAAGAGAAGTCAAATGGTAACTGGTTTTGCAACCGGACTGAAGGTTTCATTATAATCCAGACCTTGTTGTTGATGAAATCCTTTAGCAACAAGACGTGCTTTATACCTGTCAATTGAACCATCAGACTTTCTTTTAATACAGAAGGTACCAGAGACCATGTAAGTAGAGCATTGAACTCCTCCTGCACAGCTTGCCTCCAGTGCAAGTGTTTAGATGCTTGAAGATATGTGGAAAGTGTGTAATTAGGAGATAAATGAGATGGGAGAGGATGTTTAGTTGTTAAAAGAGCCTTAGGTTTGAAAATGCCAGACTTAGACCTAGTGGTCATAGGATGAATATTAGTTATAGGGGGATGATGGTAAATAGGGGATGAGGTAGGTAAGGGATCTGCAAGTGAGATAGTAAGTGAAGTAGATAAGGAATTGGATTGTGAGGGTGAGTTTAATAAAGCAGATGATGAAGAAAGAGTAAAAGAATTAGTAAAGGTTAATGAGGTTGGGATGGATGGGAAATTGGAAATAGGTTGAACTGGAGGAAGATGACTCATAGTGGATTGGTTATGATGAAATGGAAATGTGTGTTCATCAAAGATTACATGTCTGGAGCATCCAAACATCTATAGCCTTTGTGATTTAGGCTATATCCCAAAAATACACAAGGTTTGCTTTTAAGATCAAGCTTAGAGGATGTGTAAGGTTTTAACCAAGGAAAGCACCTACAACCAAAGACCTTGAGAGTTGTGTAATCTGGTGGTTTATGAAATAAGAGTTCCCAAGGAGAGGGTTTACCACCAGTGGGCATTCCATTGATGAGATAAAGAGCTATTGAAAATGTTTCAACCCAATAGATATGAGGAACTTGAGATGTTGCAAGAATAGTCCGGGCAGTTTCAACTATATACCTGTGCTTTCTTTCAGCACAACCATTTTGTTCTGGAGTATGAGGGCATCTGAGTTGATGAGAGATCCCATGTGTTTTAAAGAAATTAGAGAAGTTGTGATTGACAAATTCACCACCAAAGTCAGATCTCACAGTAATAACCTTGAATCCCAACATGTTTTCAACCACTGATTTGAAATGAATAAATGTACTGAAAACTTCAGATTTGTACTTCAATGGAAAGAACCAAGAATACTTAGTAAAATCATCAACTAAGAGAAGATAATACCGATATCCATTGACAGAAGAAATGGGCGCAGGACCCCATACATCAATGTGCAATATCTCAAGAGGTTTGCTTGTGTTACAAGAAACAAAGGTAAATGATTTTCGAGAACATTTACCTAAAGCATAGCTGGAGCACACAAATTTATTTATCATATCTAAAAGAGAGATACTAGATTTTGAAGCTAGTTTATTTAAAATCTTGAAAGAGGGATAGCTTAAACGTTGATGCCAGATGCCCTGAGAAGCTTTAGTACTGGTCACATAAGCATGATGATTTCTAGCAATAGAGAGTGCAAGAAAGGGATATAATCCAACTTTGACAAGGCCTTCAAAAAGCTCCTTCCCCGAAGTGAGATTTTTCACAATGAAGTGAAAGGGATATAGATGAATGGAGCACCAGTTATCAACTATAAACTGATTTGTAGAAATCAAATCTTGTTTCAGATCAGGAACATGCAGCATATAATTCAAATCAAATGTATGAGTAGAAGTATGAAGACTAGAAGAACCAGAGTGAGTAATAGGCAAACCTTTGTTGTCGCCAATATAAAACTGCTCAGGACCATTGTAGGATTCAGGACTTTGAAAATTTGTGTAAGAGTTGGTCATATGAGAACTGGCCCCAGTATCAAGAAGCCATGTTAGAGCAGTGGAAGAAGTGTTTGCATGAAAGGCTGTCTGTGAATTCTTGTTGCCATAACCAGGATTCATACGATGCGGACAATCAATAGCCTCATGATCAAGTTGACAACAAATTTGACATGAATTTCTTCTGTTGAAATTATTGAAATTGGATATGGAGCCACGATTATTCTTCTGTTGACCTTGGCAAGAGAAATTCGGGCGAGAATTGTAAGAACAAGAGTTATTGGGGCGATACCATGTTAGAATCTAGAGAGGGATCTAGTAAGAAAGATAGAGAGAGAAGAGAGAAATGAAATGGTGAATTTTCATTACTTGAATAATGTTACACTTTTGGTATATATACCATCATTTACCTATAGGATAACTAGCTAACTTATTAACTAAGTAAGGTACAACAAACTTATCACAACAACTCTAACAACACTTACTCAGCATCATTTACATCACTACCCTTAATACCTTTATCCATGAGTACAGATTGAGCGCAAAAGTTGGTAAGCTACCATTATACTC